GTTTTTCTAAAAGCTGGCGCCGAAGGTGCAATACTTCAGAATATGGTAGTGGCGACCCTTCACCCACTAATCTTATGTATGATCCCACCTTAGACGATTCCGAATCTGATTATTTAGCGATCGAAAGAGAAAAGCGAATTTACGTATGTTTTTGTCAATATTACTGTTTCTAAATACTGTCACGTTTGCCGGTTTCCTAAGAACGCTACCTCTATTTTAGTTTTTGACTGTGATCACATTCCTTGTGCTTCTATGATGTTTTTGTGAATTTTAGGAACTTGAAAAGAAGCATCATGAAGACCGTGAGAAAATACGAGAATACCGTGAGCGTCTTAGTCGAGAACGGGACTTGCGTGATAAAGAAATTACGGCATTGAAGGAGGCTTTAAGAAAGAAGAAAAGAAAAGATGAAAAAGATAGACGGGACCTTATGAACGTGATAAACAGCTTACAAGCAAAAGTTAGCGTAAGTATTTTTCAATTTTTCCTTCAATAACATTACAGTAAAAAAAACAATCAAAATTTTTTCGTATTGTGATATCGCATAGAGTTATGTCATAGGAGTTCTTATATTTTAGTCAACTTTTCCTTCTACTGTACCCTCCTCGTCTTTTTGCACTATAGTCGAATGAAAAAAATGAAACTAATTAAGAAGTAGATTTTTGAAGGACCAACTTTTAAAAATTTTTACAATAAGGTTGCAATTGCATTGCTCTCAGTAAGCGAAGAAGGTTCGTAGTGTCTATCTTGTTTTTGGGTAAGTGTAAGATGGTTTTAAATGAGGGATCGACTAGGAGTTATGACAACAATAAATTACGCAAATCTTAATCTCTTTTCTGGATGTATAACTGTTTAGCAAAGGTTCCAAAGCTTTGTTACTGATAAAAAATTTGTAGTTTTATGACCAACCACTATTTAGGTTAGTTTGTTTTTTACGTAAACCGTTTACAAATTTATTTTCTAGTTTCTGGAACAGAATCAGAGATGTGGCGGAGGGTTGTTTCCACCGCTGTTTGAAAGTGTAGTTGGCGCTGGGGAATCGTTGTGTACCATTAGCGCATCATCTGTCCCAGTCCCATCTGGATTTAATCAGACTACTTTACATAATAACTCGGACGAAATAGATGAAACAAAGAACTTTCGCAGGACTGAAGTCTATGATTCAGAACTTCCCAGGAGCACAGACTCTTCTAGTTCGGTTTTTTTAATTTTAAACTAAAATTTTATACTTTATCTCATTTCTATAACTTTTTTTGTTTAAAAAAATCTCAAAGTTTTCATTTCTTGTGACGCAAAAAATATGTTTCTACCGCTTTTAAGTTTGTCAGGACGTTAAAAATATAGACACCTCTAAATTAATTAATTTAAGGCTCTGTCACGACGCAAGAAGCTCAAGATATTACCTTGCTTCAAGCCGATGGTGCTAATGATCTAACATTGACTCTAAGTAATAGTTCTAGTCGAAGGGTACATAGCGATACAGATCTTTGCAGATTTTCACACCCTTACGGTACATTATCTGTGCAGTTATGAGTGCAAAGTACTCATTAATGCTTCGTTTGATTATTTTCAGTGTTAACAGTATTGTTGCTGCTGTAACTGAAGTAGGTATGAGATGGGAGCGGTGTTCTGTTCCTAACTACCAATATTGATGTACGTTTATTTCTTTCAGAATCTTTTTTTTCCCTTTCAGCTTCTGCATCATATATGTATATGAAAACGGTTTTAAAAGATGAATTTATTAAACTGTTTTTTTAATGGACTTTCTAACTTTGGCTATGTATGTAATTGTTTAAAAGCTTTTTCAACCATTTATAAAAGAAAGCTTATTTTACTTATAAATCTTTTCATGTTTTATAAAAAGAAAAAAGCAAGTGTTATTAAAACTGAACAGTAATTCTGCTGCTGTTGCTTGTAAGATTGTAGTCAAAGCTGTTTGTAAATGTCAAATAGTATAGTGTTATATATAAGATGTTTCAAAATTATTTCCCTATAATGCTCACCTATTTATTATTTTCATGTTACTTTACAATAAAAGTTGTCACTCAACATTTGCAAACGCTATGACTATAGGTTACAAAAAATAACAGCAAAATTGCTAGTCGGCTCTACCGTATTCGTGTTCCATAAGATGTGCAAAAATTTTAGAAATAAAAAAGAAAAATTTTTTTGTAGATTTTGAAAAAAGCTTTTGAACAATTGTATGCATAGTCACCAGTTGATGGACTAAGAGAAAACAGTCTAGACAGTTAAAAAGTTCGTCCCCGCAAATCTTCTTGACTTAGTAATGTGACGAAAAATTCAATGGCAAAAAGAAAATGTGCTAAGATGAACAGTTAATTGAAAAGTATTGTCTTCAACTGGTCCCTATTTCAGTTTCACAAATAGCGATACTGTTATCAAAAAATTATTGATAGAAAATTTGGATATAATTCAAAGAAAAGCTGTTTGCTCTAATTTTCTGGATTTTTTAATTTGATTTGTCTAGAAAAACTGTTTTACTGGTTGCTGGAAATCACCGTTATTCTTTTCTGTTGTTGTTTTCCTGTAATTTTTTTTATCAGCTGGACTTCAGATAATTTCTCGGTGTAAATTTTGAGTATCTATGATGTTATTGTTGTTAATATTTATGTAATTGTGTAGTAATAATTCTTTTTTTTCTCAATGTTTATCTAATCTACAAGATATGGAACAGTTTTAATCTGTTCCGTTAAGATGGTTGTGTTGTTGCGGTTTTTTGAGCTTCATCGGGGATGACAATATTTGAAAATGTCAACAGTTTTTATCGCGCCTAATGCTTAGTTCAAGATACTTGGAGAAGGTTTTCGGATTTAGGATACTATAAGAGAGATGAATATGCTTTTGTTAGTCGTTGAATTTGCAAATCGTTTATTCTCCTTTTACTGTCCTCTCCTGCTGTCTGAGAGTATTGAATAGAGTCGTTGTACTTTCTTTTACTAAGATTTCAATTCTTACTCTTCGTTGCGGCGGCTTTTAGTC